TTTCAAATCTAGAGGACACAGGTAGAAATTATAGACCTATTAAAACAATTAATTATAGTATAACACAGCAAGCTTAGTAAGAAAAATACATAGGAACCTTGATAATAAGAGTCCTAACCCAGTAGAGTAAGGAGTCAGAGAAATCTCCAAAGAGATAAACCCCACATTGAGAGATTTGCTGATTGCTTTCAGAACTTCAAGCTTTTTGTTGTTGTTGTTGTTTGTTTGTTTGTTTTTAAGAGAGAGCACTGGAATGGGCTAGGTTGTGGCTCAGTGGTAGAGCACTAACCTAGCAAGTGTGAGACCTTGGGTTCAATTCTCAGCACCACATATAAATAAAATAAAAGGTCCATTTACAAATAAGAGAGAGAGAGAGAGCGAGCGCGCACTAGAGAAGCTGAAAAGGTGAGGCATTCTAAAAAGACAGGAGAGAACTAGGAGAGAACTAAGCATAGGCATACAATTTAGGAATAATTGGTCGCTTCTGGAAATTTTCAGAGGTTTGGAGTAAGAGAAGTTAAAGTAACAAAATAGACCTTGGTGAAAGATGAGATTAGAGAAACAGGGCTACTTCATAAAGTGGCTTTGTATTCCATATTAAGGGTCAAGCCCTTTGGTAGAAGAATATGTCTCAGAATGGAGAAAAGGGGACAGGGAAAAAAAGAAATGGTGGAGAGAACAAAGAGTTTCTTTCCCAAGATTCTAAACACTATACCAAGGGGTATACACCCAAGTAGGCTGAAAATCACCATGTACAATACTCATCGAAGGACCTGCCTGTGTTATACTGGTAAATGATGTGGAGCCTGGAGGTAAAAAAGGATTGAAGATGTTGGAAAAGATAGAGGCAGAAGCGTTTGACATGGTCATATTTGTATTGCTGGAAGATCACCAGGTTGCTGTGGGGAGGATAACTATGAGGGGTGATTAGAAGCACAGTGACTGAACAGGAAGTAATTCAAGTGACCTGTGACTAATGTCATAGTAGTGAGTATGGAGAGAAGTCATATTTGAAAATTTTTAAGACAGTGGTTTCTAAACTTGTCTACACATACTACTCAAACTGGCATTCAAAAATCTTAACATTCTGATTCCAACTTACTTTTCTAGTCCTACTTTCTATTCATACCCAGTATGACACCAATTTTTTTGATAATTTCCCAAATATATTTTATACTTCCTTATCCTCTGAGCCCTGAATACTCTACCTATACCCTGCAAGCCTACCATGTGCCTTTTTCTGCCAAGCCAAAATCTACCATCTTTCAAAATCTAGGCCTGGTGCCTGAGGGCTTCCTTGGCCACTCTTTAAGAAAGTAATGTCTTGGGGTTGGGGTTGTGGCTCAGCGATAAAAGCCCTCGCCTAGCTGGGTTTGATTCTCAGCACCACATAAAAATAAATAAATAAATAAATAAATAAATAAATAAATAAAGGTATTGTGTCTAACTACAACTATAAATAAATAAATAAATAAAGTAATGTCTTTACTTTTTGAAACCATATAGTACTGCAACATGAAAGCCCTTCAGTATCTAGCATTCCAAAAGATGCTCTTAAGTACATTCCTCTCAGGAATCTGGAGAGAAAAACTGTACAACTTTTTTTGTCGCACTTTCATGGCTGGAAAGAAAAAGAAGAGAAAAAGGAAGCCTGGCAGTGACATTAAAGGTTGGGGGCATGGTGGCTGGAGTCCTCTGTCCTGATAGGGTGAAGTATTTATCAGTGATATCACTTAGAATTGCCAGCACATGGTGATAATAAAAAGACCAGAATCTTTTAGTCAGCTTTATTATTTTCAAATTCTCTAAACAGAAATTGCCCCTTTAATTCCTGATCCCAGAGTGGACCCAGCCTCAGTTTGCAGTCATAAGTGCTTTTGAAATACTGTCAAGTATCTCAATAATTTTGTGAACCAATAGCTGAGAAAATATTAATTACACAGAACATAAGACTGTAACATAGGCTATGGGAATTAATAAAAGTGTAGTGGACATGGAAATGGGAGTCTCATATCTACTGCAGAAGCATAACTGTCCAAAGGCCCCAAATGACATGCGGTGAATCCACTACTGTATTTTATCTGAGGCCACCTTGCCAGTGGCCTACTTCTAGCTTGTGGTTCAGCACAGAAGGGATTCTAAAAAGCAGGCCCATAACTGCAAGTGGACACCCCTGAATTTTGGTTGGAAAACTCATCAGACTGGTGGAACTTTTCTTAGAACTGCACTGTAATAAGACTCTTCCTACCCAAATGTAATCCTTCTCTTCTCTCCTCCACAGGGGCCAGACTTGCATCATGGTCTCTTGGCACTCACTGGCTTCATTCCTATTTCCCCCAGGCGATGACCCAAATAACCTCTTGCATGATTAATATTATTTTAGTGTCTGTTTCTTAGAGGATTGAATCAGACTTAATAAAGTAATAACTTTTGAGAAATTTTTCTAATTCATTCTTATGAAATATGAGAAATAATTTTCCATCATTTACACCAAAGACAACTTACATGAGTTTCCAAGAAACATATTAACCAAGCATCAAATTTAATGGGGTAAAACAACCTATCCATAGAAAACCAAAATGTGCCTGAATTCCCTCATGGAATTCAAATGGAAGAGTTCTACAAAATAAAAACAAAGAAACTGGTTATTCTAAATGTTCTATCTACATCATTAAAAGATGGTCAATCCTTAAAGCATCACCTATTTTTCAGATAGATATCTGATCATGCAACTTCCAAAGACCCAATGTTTTACAAAACAACAGCAAAATGATACTAGAATTGAGTGAAGAAAATGTCAGTGTCATACAATGGCGAATCCTCTGTAACTATACAAAATATCGGGAAAATTGTACATGGGTATAGTCTGGTGAGCATTTTATTGATAGATACTTTTTCTTATTCACCTTTTAGATTTACCTGTATGGGCACTTTGTTTCTCAGCCTATACCAAGGGAGGAAAGCCTTTGGCTAAGGGAGTGGGAGCTACAGAAAGGTAGGTGTTGGGGGGTTGTTTTGGTAAATTTATTCAAACTAAGAAGGGCATATACTACTTCCATTATTAATAAGTATAGTCAAATGACATAATAAGCAATTCCATGTTTCAAATATTGTATTAGGTACTTTACATGATTAATCTTTGCATCCACCTATGGACTAAGCTTTATTGGGCCCATTTTTTTAGAAGAATTAACTGAGGCTTAAAGGGGTTAAGACTTGTCCCCACAAAACATGTACTCAAACTCTGGTGAGTCGCTACTGCTCTCCTAGGTCCTGCTACCTCCCAGCAGGAGCTGGGCATGGCCCATAGGAAGACTCCCTGAAGGAAGCTGTTTTTATTTCACATACCCTTCTACAAAGGAAATGATTCTGCTCTGTCCTTAGTAGAGATTAGTAACCAACATCTGCACCCTAAAATTACAAAAATTAATCACTCAGAATAATAAAGTGTTAGCATACAAAAGAGGTTTTGAGATCAACCAGGATAGGGTCTTTATTGAACAGATAAAACTGGTGAGCATTTTACTAAGAGACACTTTCTCTGATTCACCTTTTAGATTTATCTGTGTGAGTACTTTGCATCTCAGCCTACACCAAGGGAGGAAAGCCTTTTGCTGAGGGAGTGGGAACTGTAGACAGGTAGGTGTTTGAGGTGGTTGTTTTGGTAAATTTATTCCAACTAAGAAAACATTCCGCTCCCACACCACCCTGTGTTGCCACTAAAAAGGAACAATGAGAGATTCCATCTCCCTCTGGCCCTCAGGTGTTTCCCAGGGCTGTAAAAGGTAGGCTGGAGAGGCTTCTCCTTTTTCTAAGTTCTGTGCTGATTCTATCAGCTAGAAGAACATGAAGGAGAAAAGGGAAACAAGGTGGGTGGAAGGGCTCTGCAGTTTCTAGGAAAAAAAAGGGTAGTGTTCCTTGCCAACTTTTGCCCCTGCACATACAGCACAGCTTTCTTATGGTTGACAGATAATTGAATGTATTCTCAGTTTTAAGAGGAAATCCATGACTCTGCTGTCCTTTCTGAAAAATATTTTCTCTCAGGCAGACTGCCATTATTAACAGTAGGTAGGTAAAGTAGCTTTGGGGGGGCCAGTTTTTCTCAAGCCAACATTTGATTTAATTTAGGATATTAATGGGCAATAGTAAGAATACAAATATTGTTTTCTGTTTGAATAAAGAAAATTTAGTTTTTAGTTATAAAGTGTAATTGGTGTAAACTACTCCATACTTTTGTTATTCACCTGGGCCATGGGTATCATAATAAGCAAGTCGATGAGAGTGTAAACACTGAATTGCCAATTCACTGGCAATTTGTTTTTCAAATAAATAGCCCATTTTTGTCACCTCAGACTTTGAGGTCACAGAAATATACTATTTATATTTACAAAATATACTACTTTTAACATCAAAAGCCTCAAAGTATATTTTCCCATGAAATGCTTAAGATTTTCTTTACAAATGACTAAGAATTTTCAAATTTCCTTTCTAATTTTGTATTAATGTGTCAATGTGTGCAAACTCTCTGAAAATCCCTTTGTTGTTCAAAAGCTTACATATCATCTCTGGTTGTTCTTTGAAAGAAAAAAAGGTTATATGTGGAAATACACCTGAGTTCTGAGTCTATTCCTAATTCTTCAAAATTCTGTTTAGTAAGGTGGCTCATCCTGAGTCTGTTTAATCACTCTGAGGGCCACCTCCTCATAGGGCGAGTATAAGATTAATTGTTGTTATCTCTGCTGGCATGTAATAAGCTTTTACAGTTTTCAGATTAGGACAGTTTTGTTCACCCAGAATCTAGCACCATGCTAGGGATTCAGTAAGTAGTAGAAGTTCTCACTCACTCATTCTCCCGTTGAACTTTAGCTTTACCTGATGCTACAGAATACCTTCTGCTCACCCTTTCTGAAAGTACCCACTCTCACTATAGGAGAACTCTCTTCATGTCCTCCTCCCACCACTTTTGGTGCTCTTCAATGGCTTCTTTCCCTCTGCCTTACCTCTATGCTCCTTCCTCACATTCCATCCTAGTCCGACGTCTTCTTGCCAGCACACAGTGGATGCTTGATAGTTACATGTTGAGTGAATAAATGAAATAATGTCATGCTTCAGACTCCTTGGGATATGCTTCAATAATTATGTTAATCTGATTAGGTCTAAATATCTATCACTAAGTGAAATTTCTCAACTCTGGCAACAAACCTCTATCTCCACAAGCTTATCTATAGCAATGTGTTAAAAATGAAACTTAAGAAGTCCAATTAAACATAGCAGATTAATCACACACAAGTATATCCTTTCTGTCCCATTCCTTAGGATGATAGCTAAGAAACTTCCTGAAGGAAAAATATAAAAATTTACAAGGACAAAGAGAACAGAAGAGAATACAGTGGTTAACTAAAAATTCCAACAAACTTTTGTAAGAAAGCAGATAGAGGTGAAATGTCTGAATTAGAAGTATGAATGCAGTATTTTTTTCTCATCTTTAAAGACATTACAATAGTTGATTTTTTTTCTTCTTTTTAATTAGTTGTTTCCACTGGATGCCTTTTTCCTTGTTTTTCTCATTAACCATCTAAAGTTTTCTAAGCATTGATTACTAAAGGAAAGAAGATAGGAAAAGGAAGAGGAGGAGAAGGAGGAGAAGAACAACTAATTCGGCCTATAGAACTAAGGAGAGCACAGTTTATGCACTGGCAAGACTGAAACCCAGATAAACTGACAGTACATAATGTATAATGAACGCTGAGACACAGAACCACAGTTCATTATATGTTATGGACTGTCAGTTTATTTTATCCCACGCCCTGGAACCAGGCTTAAGTCCCCCTAGAAAATTAGAAGCTGCTTCTCTAAGAAACTTGACAGCCTCAGGGGGAATGACTTGTGACACTTTGGAGGTACCACAAACAACAAAAATATTCACCACTGACAAGTCCTACCTATGCCCACACGGCTTCTATTTAGCTCTTTAATGACCTGTTCCTAAATACCAACAGGGATTCATATTGTGAATATAAAGTCAGACAGAGATTAATAAACAATTGAGGGAAACTTCTGAATATGATAAAATGAAAGGTAAAAAGGTATCCAGAGCAAACAGAGCCAATTAAAATAGAAGAAAAATTGTTATTAATGTCTTTAGAAATGAGAAGATGTTATATCCATAAATAAGTATAGGATGCTATGAAAAAGGAATAAACAAAAGAACGCTTGGAATTTAAAAATAAGGTACCATAAAGTTATCTAAGGGCTGGGGATGTGGCTCAAGCGTTAGCGCGCTCGCCTGGCATGCGTGCGGCCCAGATTCGATCCTCAGCATCACATACAAACAAAGATGTTGTGTCCACCGAAAAACTAAGAAATAAATATTTTTAAAAATTCTCTCTCTCTCTCTCTCTCCCCCTCCTCTCTCAAAAAAAAAAAGTTATCTAAGAATTTGAAGATAATATTAAAGAAATCTCTCAGAAAACAGTCCCCTCACTAGGTAGAGAGTCATGGTGACAGGAGTAAGATAGAAGAAAAGCAACATTTAAAGTACAGAATTAAATCAGAAAGACCAACAACTGCCAAACAGGATTCTAAGGGGGAAATGAACAAAAAATATTATAGGAGAAAATTACCAAAGAAAAAATATATAATATCCTCCTGAGAGAAGAATTAGGAGATACTGAGAAGTGAAACAAAATACTGTTTTCCTAACACACACAAAAAAAAGGTTAGTACTATTTGACTTAAAAAAAAAAAATGCTGGGCACGGTGGTGCACACCTGTAATCCCAGCAGCTGAGGAGGCTCAGACAGGAGAATCAAGAGTTCAAAGCCAGCTTCAGCAACACCGAGGCTCTAAGCAACTCAGTGAGACCCTGTCTCTAAATAAAATACAAAATAGGGCTAGGGATGTGGCTCATTGGCCGAGTGCCCCTGAGTTCAGTCCCTAGTACTCTCCCCGCAAAAGACCTTCAGTTTCCTCCCCTCAAATCTGTCCTTCATTTCCGTATTCTCTTTCTCTGACAATATTATTACCAGTTATCTTACCAATTTGTTCTAAAACAGCTCTGCAAGTTCTGCTTCTGATGGATCTTTCAAACATCTCCCTCCAACCCTATTGGCCTTGTCTGATCCTCACTCACCTCTCCCTGAAATAGTTCCACAGTCTTATTACTGGTGGCTCTGCCTTTGGTCTCTACCCATCCAAACCATCCCACTACAGGCATGCTTTTGCAAGTTGTTCATGCCTGTAGTAACCTCCTGAAAATACTATTTTCCCTCTGAAACTTTGAGGCTTGATACTGGTAGACAGGTGTCTTCCCCACCTACCTTGTTTCCAATATTATTTCTAAACAACTTCATCCCCCCTTCTTCCTTCAAAACTGCCAGATATTCTTAAGATTATTTCATCTGACCATACTAGCCCATACTATTCCTCTTGACTGTCATTTGGCTAAGACATGACCTCGATTCACTGAAATTCTAGTACCTAGCTTACTGTCTTCCTCTTTTCCACTACTTATGCCACATTTTCGGCAATTTTAGTACCCATCTTTAAAAATAATCCTCTTCCTCATACTGTGGCCTCCCAAATTCTTAAATTTCTCATCTCTCTCTCTCTATATATATATATTTTTTTTTTATTTTTTTTTTATTTGGACCACCCACTGCCATGGTTATACTTTGGATACAGTCACTGCCACTCTCTACCACAAGCTCCTACCTCTCCAGCCTCCTTCCAGTTCACCCAACCTTTGTGACATCTTAACAAACAATTTTCTATTAAAGATCTCCTCCTCTTTTTCACCCCTCTTTACCCATCCTTTGTGAAACATCATGTTCCAGAACTATAATCACTCCCTGAAAACTCTTTAACTGCGTTGTTCCTCTTTCTCTCCATCCAACTGTCTATTTATCTAATTCTGAATAAACCTTACTCTGGGTCTAAATCCTATAGCTAAACTCTTCTCCAGAAATGGAGAAAAACATGATAGAACAATGCTAACTGGTTTTACCCTATGACCAAAAATAGCAAATGGAAAGCACCATTGCCAATTGGCTCTTCTGATATCTCTAAAACTTCTGTTTTTTCCCTCTCCAAAATGCTTATTTCTCTATTACCTTTTCCTCCAACTTATAATAACCTATTCAATTTTTCTGCAGATGATCTTGCCTTTCCTTCATACCTCACAGAGAAGCAAGAAACCATATGATAAGAATTACCTACATCAACTTCCTATAATTCAATCCAGCTACATTTGAATCTATGAACAATGTGCTCACTATTAAAATAGAAGAAATTTCCTTACTTCTATATAGGCCACCATTTTTGCTATTTAAGAACTGCATTTCAAATGATGTTAAAAAAAAAGAAATAAAAAATTTAAAAAATGATAAAGTAGTTTTGAAAAGGAAAAAAAAAAAAAGAACTGCATTTCTCAAATCATCCCTAATCTCTCCTAAATCTTCAAGTCGCCTTTCAACTATAGCATTACCATCAACAGAAACACACTTAATATCACCCATCTAATACAAAACAAACAAAGTGACCTTGACCTTACATTCCCTTCCAGCTCATATCCCATTTAGCTTCTCCTTTCACTATAAAACTTTTGGAAAAAGTGTCTTTAATTTATGGGCTCTGCTTTCTTACCTCCGATTCTCTATGAAGTTTATTTCATTATAGTTTCATTCCAGTTTTTCTTCATATTTATTATATAGGAAAGGAAACAAATCTGATTGTAAAGCTTGAAACTTAATCTCTTGGGCTCTGATTCATATTCTGTGATTTACTATCAATAAATGCAATATAACTTCTCTGTATCTCAGTTTCCTCAAGTATAAAATGAAAATAATGAAAGTAACTCTCTCATAAGATTGTTGTGAGGATTAAATAGCACATATGAAAGCATAAGAATACCAGGACTGTAGAAATAATTCAATACATGTTCTACATACTATTGTGTTCAACAAGAACCTTCCTTCATCTTACCAAATCCAATAATGAAAGCTCTTCCTTGTCTTAGTTCTCAAGATGCAGTAGAGAGAGTTCACAACTCATTTCTATTCATGGCTCCTGTGATATCACACTCTATTGGGTTTCTTCTACTCTACTGGCTGCTGATTCAGGATTTGGTGACTGTTTAACGTCTAAAAATTGGAATATTCAGCCCACCCTTCTTACTATCTAAACTCTTCCTAGGTATTCTGATCAAGTTTCATGTTTTTAAATACTATCTATGTGCTGATGTTGCTCAAATTATATCTCCAATCCTGGCTTTCTTCTGAGCATCAGACAAATATATTTAACTACCATCTCCACTAGGATATTTAGTTGGTACTGAAAACCTAACAAATCAAGAACTGAATTCTTAAAGACCTCCCTCTTTCTTCATCTCAGCCCATAAATCTGCTCTATAAATCTTTCTATTTCTGTTATAATTATCATTATTTATATAGCTATCAGGCCAAATAACTAGAAGTCATATCTGATTCTTCTTCCTTCTTAATCTTCCAAATAATAGCAGCCCTGTTTGCTCCATCTCAAAAATATAACTCAAATACATCTCTATTTCTTATTACTACTGCCATCTTAATCCAAGTTATCATGATCTCTTTGCTAGATGATAAAAAATGTTCTAAACATTTCCCTCCTCCCATTTTCCCCTCCCCCCAATTAAGTAATTTTCTTCAGAGCAGCCAGTGTAATCTCAAAGAATAAACCAGACCTTATCAATTCCCTGTTTAAAATCTTCAGAGGCAATTACAATTAAATCCAGGCACAGTGGTGGACAGCTATAATTCCAGCAACAAGGGAGGCTGAGGCAGGAGATCACAAGTTTGAAGCTAGCCTCTGCAATTTAGTGAGGCCCTAAGCAACTTAGTGAGACAATGTCTCAAAATAAAAAAATAAAAAGGGCTGTGGATGTGTCTTAGTAGGAAAGCACCTGTAGGTTCAATCCCCAGTACTAAAAAAAGAGAAAGAATAAAATTCAAACTACTGATATCTATTGAACTCAGGATATACATTAAAATGATTAATGACTGAATGAAAAGTCTTGCTAGAACAGTTATAGTTAACAGTTAATCTCAGCTGTGAAATAGAATGTTTATTAGATATAACAACTATATGTGAAACCCTCAGAAATTCAGATATACATATCTCTCTCTCACACACACACACACACACACACACACACACACACACACACATACACACAGTTATATAAAGCCAAAATTGCTTTTATAGAGAAAATGCACTTATATTTTTTAACAGAAAATATTGCTACCCTGAAAAATTCTACATTTTCTCTATAAAGGCAAATTTACTCAAATAGAACGATTATCTGGAAGTTTCACTATTTCAGAGTTCTAAGAAATATGGTCAAGGGTCACAAGGGCCAGAAACATAGCTCAGCATAGCTCAGTGAGTGTGAGGCTCTAAGTTCAATCCTTAGTACTGCATAAAAACAAACAGACAAACTAAACCTAAATCTCACCAACATTTTGACTAAACAAACCCTATTGATTGCTAACAAATTGTTCTATGCTTAGAAGTGCATTTTTCTAAAGTTGTGATTATATGAATACACTTTAAAAATTCTGTTGTCCTTGCATTGTCTAACATACTACCTGATCACCAGAAACTTGTCCAGTGACTAATCTGACAAAAATATGGAATATATTCTAAATAGAAATCACTTGAAAATGAATAAATTTTCATTTCTTTCTCAGGCCCTAAAAAAGATAACAGGCTTTTCCTAAAAAGCATATTTAATAAAATTTAATACAAATTGTGTGCTATTTTAGTAATCATTTCAACTTTTATCCTTAAAACGTGTTTATTAATAAGATCTGTGATTTCAACCTCAGCAACATAAAACTTAACAATTAACATTTCAATATTAAAAAATAATGTAATGACAATCCTAATTTCAAAGCTAACAAAGAAGTACAATTAATGTGTAAGTATTTTTACAAAATAAAGCACAATATTACTAAGGTCTCAAGATTATGACACATCAATCTCAGATGCAGAGCATAAAACAATGTATTTAGATTTTCCTTTGAAAGTCCCAATTCTTATTTCTGTAACAAAATAAACTTTTACTCAGTTATTTTTAAAATATCTAAATGGGAAAAGTACACTAAAAGCCATCAACAAAGACTGTTTTTGATTATTCTTGGTTTCTAACCCATTTAGAAAAGCATGCAGTTTAGAAATGTATATTTGGACAAATTAATCTTAATGTTATGTTCTTGAACATAAACATCAGCAAACAATATAGAGTATGAAATAATACAGGAAAAATTTTTGGTTTTATGGGTATTACAGTGTGATTTTAATACAAGCTAAACATGAGCACAATTGTTAGATTTATCATGCAAAACAATATGCCAAGATCAATCTTAAAAGAAAAACCAAAACATAAAAAATACTTTTCTCAATTAATCCTTCAGACTCCATATAAAATACAAAAATTAGTATGACAATAATCACATCAAGTACTAACTTGCTGATTGAGAGGGAAAAAATCTTTTTGATTTCAAAATTAAAATAGCTTCAGGTAAAAGCATAGTATTTTCCACATATACTATCTTTCCATTTTGCACAGAGTTCCAAGGCAAAGATTGCTTCTGGCTTTATGAATTACCAGAGATGACCTGTGTGGCTGACTTATCACAGGTCTTTTATTCTTCTTTCCTGATAGATCCTTAGCTTCTTTGGGAGGTGGCATATGAATTGGTTTCCATGGAATTGGATTACAAAAGGCTGGTTCTGGATAGGAAGTTCCACTGTAAAAACCTACAATCATTGAAAAATCAGAACAAAACAAAACAACTAAACTTCTTGAGAACAATTACTTATTTTAAAATTCCTAGAAAATGTTAAACTGTCAAAAAGGCGAATTATCACTGACACACCAAGCTAATCTGAATACTTTTAAAAAACTAACACTTTCAAATATAGTAATGTAGTAAAAGATAATTCTGAGAAGCCAAACAATATTGTTAAAACATATACAAAAAATAATGCTGAAAACCCAAATAATATTGTTAAAATCTATGCAAATAATAATACCTGCAAAGGTTTTACTATAGAATTAATTTCCAAACCATAAAATTGAATAAAACCTTCATTTCTTAACTCTGTCTAGGAAATGACTTATTTGTGAACCAGTTTCCCCTTGTCAGAGACTAAAATTTACAGAAAATTTTATTTTGCTTATACAGCTAAAGTGAATCAAGATTTTTGTTTAGAACCAGGGAATTTTGATTTATTGTTATTCAAGTTAATAAGATTTCACAGAATCAGTGTAATTTTATTACTAATTAAAGAGCATCTTTTGATGAACATACTGTTTAAAAATTGTGATGCCTAACAATAATAACAATGTGAAAGAAGAACATTCTGTAAATTATCTTCAAATCCTTTGGTCATTATAGGCACACAAATTCCTTTATTTTACAATTTATAAAAATGATAGGATAAAGAATAAAGACTTAAGGGAAGTACAGCATGCAGACAAATATGTTGCTTATTAGAATGAAGGGAAGGGATGGGGGATAGGAAAAGAAAAAAGTGAAATGAATTCAAAATAATTTTCATATAAATGTATATAAATACACCATCATGTATATCCATAAGAATGGGGTTCTAATTAGAATAAGATATGTCCCATATTTGTGTAGTTATATCAAAATGAATTCTACTGTCATGTATAACTAAAGAGAACCAGTAAAATAAAAAAGATAAACTCATTTAAAAAGCAAAGTAATTTAATAAAATAGTCCATTGTTTTAGCAATTAATTTCTAGTCAATATGTATATTCCCACCTAAAGTCTTAGCTTTACTATCTAATCATTAGGTAAAAATCACTTCTTATTGACCTTTTTTTAAGCAAGAAAGAAAGAGAGGCAGGGAGAGTGGCAGGGGGGAAGGTGGGGGTAGGAGGAGGAGGAGAAGGAGGAGGAAGAAGCCATCCTCAGTAGCTAAAATGGATTAATGGATATAATGGATGACCTCTACGACATATAAGAGAGGCCTAATCCTGACAGCAGGAATGTGTCTTTCAGACCCTTGGCAGCCCACTTTGACTGTATAATATGTCAACACATACTTCACCAAGGTGGTCAAAACAAAGTCTGGAATATGTCCCATTGTGTGAACAAAACAGAATGGGAGTATTTTTAATAATAAATCATTTAAACAAGTGAAGGCAGCTGTCATCAAGGTATGAGCTTTCAACATGAAGCACAAAGAAAAACATGCAATGCCATTTATCATCAGACCAAGCCTAAAGGCCAATTGGTTCTGTTTGATCATGTGCTATCTATATCCCACCCTGTAAAAAGAATGTGCCAAAGACACTGGAAGCTCTGCCTTAGAGAAGGTTAGAAAAAGGGTAGGCAAGATGAACTCTTAAACACATCCTGAGTAAGGCTTTTTCATCCAAGAATGTAAAAGCACTACCAGGGATGCTAGCAATTGAACCCAGGACTGTATGCATGCTAAAGACATGCTCTGTGACTGAACTACAACTCCATTCCTGAAAATTTAACTTATTTCCTAATGTTAGAAATCATTGCTTAACAGTATAAGTTTGCAGTTTTATAACCATTACCTTTATATATTATTTATGGAGAATGAATAAATTCCTACCAACATAGTATAATTTTCTAAAAGACAGTAATTTGAAGGAAAAATAAATTTTTTAAGTTTCTATTTCTGTGAAAAAGAAACAAAATGTATAAAATTTGCTTCTGCAAACCATACTTATGTAAGCCACATAACATAAAAACTAACCTGTAAGTTT